TCTTTGTAGAACCAGTCCTCATTACAAGGCCTTCGTAGGGTTTCGAAAGAGTTCGAGGCCAGAGTCATATGTGACCCTGGGAAATGGGTTGACGCAAGTAGCTCTAGTGTTTCCGTTTCACTATTAGTGAATTTACCATCAGGCTTTTTAAGAAGCCCGATCTTCTTAGGCTTAGCTTTCTATAGCATTTTGTGTACTCTTGCACTGCGAGGCAATGACTCAACTTCCTCGCATAGCTTCCTCCACGACGCTCTCGTAGCTTTCCTAATTTCTTTATTATAATCGGTTAGGGCTGCGCTATAAATATCCCATTCTTTCATTTTTTAGCCCTATTGAATAGTTTCCTATTCCTTTCCCTAACCTGCTTTAGCTTAGTGTTCCACCAAGAAACATTTCGTGTTGAGGTCTTGGTTTTGACAGGACAACTCTCTTCGAAGGCTTCACGGATACCTAAGGTTACCGTCTCCGCCGATAACTCCAGACCTTCAATCGTTTTAATGCTTTTAGGAAACGTTTCCAAATTCCTCCTTAGGCTATCTCTGTAGACATCTCAGGAAGTCGCTTTTGGAGCCCTAAAAGCAACAATTTCATAAGCTGGTGATGCCCTAATTACAAACTTAATGTGTTTGTGATCATACATCGAGTTTTCATTACTAACATGCCAGTCAGTAATCCACCTGGATGTGTTATTGTTAGCAAAGGTTATATCTAGCACTTCTTGCCTAGTACGCATTACAAAGGTTGGTGCAAAACCTAAGTTTAAGCTTACTAGGCGATTGGATATGAGAAAGTCAAAAAGTAACACATTTTTCATATGGAGCCCTTCATTTTGTGCCCTCAACAGTACAGCCCCCTTCTCTCGGGAGTCAGCTTCGCTGCGGGACAGAAAGGTAATGCTCTGTTGAGGCTTAGGCAGTTCGCTCTCGTGTATTACTGAGAGCTCAGCCTCTGGCCAGGGTTTTAGTTTTCCGATCTCACCCACAATCCAGGACTGGATTGCTTGCCTTTTTTAGGCAAGTTACCAGAATCCAACCTGGCTTGTGGGTGAAACTCGAAAATTTTGGTCGCATTCCCGGCTGCGCTCCACAGGCCGTCTTAGCAATAGCCTGCGTTAGTACCCGATGGACCAGCCGCATCTGCTCACAGGATTCGAGTTGCGTATTCGCTATAACCAGATAAGTCACTGAATCTGAGCTTCTTTTCCCCTGTTGCCAGCTTCACAGGTTTCCTAGGCTGGTCTTTGGGAGGACTCCTTATCAGACTGACTGCGTTTTTTCGCCGAGGTTTGGGCAGAGGGATTTACTCCCAAGACTTCTGGCAGAGAGAGAGGACTCTTCGGCTACTATCTCAGCTGCTATCAGCCTTCAGTACCTCTTCTGTGCTGCTCCACATAGCTTATAAGGCCCAGTGAACTTTTTCTTTTCCCCTCCCTGGTTCTTTTTCCGATTGTGGTACGGCTGCAGACGTGCTCTCCACTTCTCGGCTCATCGCAGGTTGGAGCGTAGGGTTGCAGGGTATTGGTGATGCTAAAAGAGCCTCTTCCAGACTTACTGGAATTATCCTTTATATTATCCTATTATATTATCCTTTAATGGAACTGGCTGTAAGTCAGTTCCATTAAAGGATCCATTTCGTTCCCACGAGTAGCCAGGGAAAAATTCGGTCACCCCCGGCAGAGCCCCGCATGCCGGGGGAACGGCTAAAGTACTACCCGAATCCCTTGGTCTCGGGTAGGCACCGTTTGCGACTGGGCTCCCCCCCAGCCACGCATCCATCGGCACGGTACGCCTAACACCTTGGATTGGGTTAAGATAGGAAAAAGGAGGTGCGATTGAAAGAAATAAAATGAGGATTGTCTGAGTGTTACTATTCTGTCTATTTTCTATTGAACCAGAGCAAATAACAGCTGGCAACCACGTGAAGGAAGAAATCCTCAGACTTGCCCTAGGTATCAACACTACCTGCGCTCTCCCCCCGAGCCATTTGCCAAACAGCTCACCGAACAGGAGAGCAGAATAGGTGTTAATCTATTCCTGCTGATTTTGTAAAAATGTGAGAATTAGGAGTACACTAAATCCCGCATTTTAACTAATAATGAGGCATTCCACTTTAGAAATTAGGGCTGATAATTCATCTGCATTATGATTTTAATTCGAGGATAGATGCAGAGCCTACTGGCCACAGTATCCTCTTACCATGCTCGTTTGTAACCCTCATTCTAAAAAAAGTATTGTTGGGAACCGGTTGCATGTACGCGCGGGTGGAGACGCGCGGGAGGACGTCTCGTAGAGCGGCAGCGGCGCGGCGGCAGGAGGTTGGGACGATACTCCACCGCGGTCGGACGACAACACTAATTTAATTTATAATAATAATTTTATCAAGTAGACCGGGTTATTGTAAAGTACGGATGATTATATCAGCCCTATAAGAATATACAGTCCACTTTCATTTAACCACGTCACCAGGAACCTAACATTGGTCCTTTAGGATTCTCACCGTCTTACATAATACGGTCTTCGCCACGTCTCCGAGCTCTTAAGTGTGGTCTTCAGCTGCGAAATTATACTTCGGCACGGGCCTTCGTGAACCATCACATCCTGCGGAAGATCCTTCAAAGCAACTCGCATGCTCGTGAGCCGGGAACCATCTTGAATTCGACCGTGCCACGGACTTTGGACCCATCGAAAGTTCGAGTAGTCATTGGTGAGCCCGTTCCAATTATTCCTGAGAACTTTTCCTTCTTTTTCATACATTTAAATTTAAAAAAGCCTTTATTTTTAGTGAGTGCTTTTAGTCATATATGCTTAAACACTATCTAATCTCTTCCATAATAACACGTACTTCTAAAATCAAATAATTGCATAAGCCCAGCAACAGCATTGCGCTCGAATAACGGGATCTTGTTTACGCAAATCGCTCGCTTCTTATCCATATCTACCTGAGCCGGCCGGCCGGGTCGCCACTTGCCCATCTATTCCTTTGTTCGCACACCAAGGTCAAGTTCACGCTGCATTTTATAACTACTTTGCGTTATAACTTTTGTTTTTCTTAAATATTTCATTACCGCTTTGTCATGGCCGAAGAAAAAATACAAAAATTAATTAAATTACGTAGTTCTATTAAATCTAAGGTTACTATATTAAATAAATACGTAAAAGTATTGCAATCAGGCGGCCCCCCTAGCGATTTACAACTGCTAGACTTAGAAGGTCGTTTTAAAAAATTCGATGCCTTATACGCGCAATATGACGAATTACAGAGCCAGATCGAGGTGCTTTCAGACGACAGTGATACTCAAGAGCTAGAGCGCGAGGAGTTCGAGGGCCAGTACTACTCGCTGGCGGCGGCGGCGCGCAGCGTGCTCGGCGCGCGGCCCGCGCGGCAATACGAGCAGCCGCTGAATCGTTCCTTATCGAGCTACGAGTATGTAAGCTTACAGCAAACAGGTGCCTTTAAATCCAATTGCGTCAGATTGCCCAAAATTGATTTACCAGTCTTCAACGGTCACTATCAACACTCGCTTGAGTTTAGGGACACTTACATATCTTTAATACATTCGAGACAAGATATTGATAACATTAATAAACTGCATTACCTTCGCGCGTCTCTTAGAAGTAGCGCTTTGCTTGTTATCGATAACTTAGATTTCAAAGCCGAAAACTATAATTCTGCGTGGAATTTATTGTGTAGCAGGTACGACAACAAACGCTTACTGGTCAATTATCACGTAAGGGAACTATTTAATGTGGAGCATATGCGCAATGAATCCTGCAAGGGTATTCGACGCCTTATTGACGTTACGAATAAAAATCTTCGCGCCTTGACCACCCTAGACCAGCCGACACAGCATTGGGATACACTCATAATTCACATGATGGCTGAAAAACTTGATAGTGTCACTCATAGAGAATGGGAAGAATATAGAAATACTCTTAATAATCCTCCTTCGTTAGAAACATTTACGACGTTTCTCAGCAATAGGGCAGACCTTTTGGAGACGTTGCAAGAAAGTAAAAATAAACCACAAAAATATGAAACTTACAAAACTAATACAAATTTACTTATAGCTACAAACACTCAAAGGGAAAAACAAAACTTCAATAAAAAAACAACTTATTTAATAAAAAAAATATTTACATGCCCATTGTGTAATCAAAATCACTTTCTATTCACATGTGAAACATTCAGAGCCCTTCCTATTGAAATTCGTATACAAAAGGCTAAAGAGTCAAACGTCTGTCTTAATTGTTTACGACCTGGGCACTTAGAAAATAATTGCAATTTATCTTCATGTAAATATTACAAGAAAAGGCATAATACGCTATTGCACTTGCACGAGCCACAGCCGATCCCTGAGCCTGCTATGCCATCAACCAGCAGCATTAACCACTTCGCAAATTCAAGCGAGTCAAAGCAGGTAGCTACTCCTCCGCTTGTTTTGCTTTCCACAGCGCTGGTAAAGGTGCTGGACGGCACCGGCGCCGCGCACTCCGCCCGCATGCTGCTCGACAATGGCAGCACGGCTAACTTCGTTATGCAATCGCTCTGCGGTAAGCTGGGTTTGTCGCGACGTAGCGTGAGCTCCACGGTGACAGGTATAAACAGTAATTCATCTCATATTACACAGTCTTGCAGCCTTAACATTAAGTCGCTTCATAATGACTATAACCTTACTGTAGACTGCCTTATTTTGCCTGAGATCACTAAAGCTTTACCGTCTTCTTTCATAGACATACAAAATATCCCTCTTCCGATGGGAATAAGTTTTGCCGACCCTTCCTTTAACATACCGTCGGCTATAGACATCTTAGTGGGTGCCGAAGTATTTTGGTCCGTCTTATGTAATAATTCCATTGACTTGGGCAAAAATCAGCCTAAGTTGTATGAGACAAAACTGGGTTGGCTGGTGTCCGGGCATGTCGCCCGTCTTAAGGCACCGTCTTCGTCTCCCGTTTGTCACTTTATAAGCGAGGATTCCAATCCAGACTTAACTCGTTTTTGGGAGTTAGATACTGTGGCAGCAAAACACTCTTTGTCTCCTGAGGAGCGTGCCTGCGACAGAGCTTTTTAACAAACACCGTACGCAGCGAGAACGGTAGCTTTGTCGTCTCCATGCCGCTAAAGGACGATCCGTCAGTCTTAGGAGAATCCTTTCAAATGGCCAAGTGCCGTTTTTTATCTTTAGAGCGCAAATTTCTTCGGGAGCCTGTTTTTAAGGATATATACATGGAGTTCATGCACGAATATGAACGCCTAGGTCACATGACTGAAAACAAAGAGTCTTCATTTGGCGACTTACAACAGCTCAATTATTTTTTACCTCAACACGGAGTCATCCGTGAGTCCAGCCTTACCACCAAGCTTCGCACAGTCTTCGACGCTTCCGCCGTATCTAGTTCTGGATTGTCACTTAACGACATTCAAATGGTAGGGCCGACTGTACAAGAAGACCTTTATTCTATTTTATTACGTTTTCGCCAGCATAAATACGTCATTACTGGAGATATAGAAAAAATGTACAGAGCGATTGAGCTTAATCCCGCCCAACGCTCACTTCAACAAATCATATTTAGGTATGACTCATCACACCCGTTAAAAACGTACACCTTAAACACGGTGACTTATGGTACGGCGTCTGCCCCATACTTAGCCACGAAGTTTTTGGTGAGCTTAGCATCCAGCGCTCTCGATAGCGACGTAAAGCAGTCGATTCAACGCGATTTTTACGTTGATGATTATTTAAGCGGGTCGTTGACTATTGACGACACTATCAAGCTGTGCAAAGGAGTTATTAATACACTTAAAACTGCAAATTTCAATTTACGCAAATTTCAATCAAATAACAAATTAATTTTACATCACGTTTCATCTTCATTACAATCAGATAATGTCTTAGACATAGCAAACAGCGATAGTAATGTTTCGTCTAAAACTTTAGGTCTAAATTGGATTTGCGATTTAGACATTTTGTCATTTTCTATCAATATCGAACTTCGGGAAAAAGTGACAAAACGTCACATACTTTCCGTTATAAGTCAGATCTTCGACCCATTGGGTCTCGTGGGCCCCTGTGTCATCGAAGCAAAGCTCATCATGCAGAGGCTATGGATCGAACGACGCTCATGGGACGATGAGGTTTCAACGGAAATAAAACGTTCATGGTTTTCGTTCGCCGACACCTTACCACTTCTTAACCACTTAAAGGTTCCTCGGTGGGTACTTCAAGACCATTCAATATTCCATGAAATTCATGTGTTTTCGGACTCTTCTGAGCGAGCATATGGGGCTTGCGTCTACATTCGCTCTATAGACGCATCAGGCTCTATCAAAGTAAAACTTTTGACTTCTAAGAGGTAGCGCCAATAAAGCCAACAACTATTCCGCGCCTGGAACTTTGCGGATCGTTAGTGGCTGCAAGACTGTGTAACAAAGTATTAACCTCTTTAACACTACATATCAGCAAGTGTAGATTCTGGTGTGACTCAACTATTGTTTTAGGGTGGTTAAAAACACCACCTACTAACCTTAAAAGTTTCGTAAGGAATCGTGTACATGAAATTCGGGAATGCACAGAGGGTCAAACGTGGAGCTACGTACCGTCGAAGGACAATCCGGCGGATCTTGTTTCCCGTGGGCTGAAGGCTGACCTCATCAGCGGTTCAGAATTGTGGTGGTCAGGGCCACCTTTCTTAACAGACATTGAAACTAATTGGCCACAAGTGCCCAACGTCGGCGTGAAACAGAATCTACCAGAGTTGATCACCTGTTCCTTCGCGCTTAAGCGCATCGTCCCATGAGCGATATTAAGTCTGCATTAGAATTGTTAACAATTCAAATGCAGACTTAATATCTAACTTAATCAAAAACAAATCTAATTTAACAAACTTACAAAACACTATAGTATATTTACAAATATTTATTTGCAACTGTAAGAACCCGAAAATGCAAATGAAAGAACATTTTTCAGTTCAAGAGCTCCAAAATTCCTTAAATTTCATTATTCTTAAATCTCAATCTGAGATGTTTCCTGACGAATATACTCTTCTTAAAGCCGGAAAGGCGCTTCCTAACAAAAATCGACTTATAGCTTTAAGCCCATTTCTCGATGCTAATAACATAATAAGGGTTGGTGGAAGACTTCCCCTTACAATTACGACACAAAGCACCCAATTTTGTTATGCAACAAACATCATTTCACTAAGCTTATGTTTGAACATTTTCATCTAAAATATTTACATGCACCGCCACAACTTCTGTTAGGAAATATTAAGCAAACTTATTGGCCCTTAGGTGGCAAAAACCTAGCTAAAGCTACAGTTAACAAATGTATGCGATGCTTCCGGTACAGGGCGGAAACTGTTCAGCCCATCATGGGCCAGCTCCCCGCCTCACGTACCGAACTAGAGTTTCCCTTTCTTCATTGCAACGTCGACTACGCCGGGTCAGTGTTGATAGCAGACCGTAAAAGCAGAGGTTGTAAACTTATTAAGTCTTTTTTGGCAATCTTTATTTGCAGTTCGGTAAAGGCCTGTCATATTGAGCTCGTTACGGCACTATCCAGCGAAGCATATATTGCCGCTTTAAATCGCTTTGTGTCCCGTCGCGGAAAGCCCAAGAGCATCACGTCAGATAACGGTTCGAATTTTATCGGTGCAAGCAACGAGCTGGCTCAATTTCTTCTTCAATCGGAACTTGAAGGTCAAATGGCTCAAGAAGGCATAGAATTTAAATTTATTCCCGCTTTTACCCCTCACTTTAATGGCTTAGGTGAAGCAGCAGTACGCTCAACAAAACACCATCTTAAGCGTTTATTACAAAACACTCATTTAACTTATGAGGAAATGGCTACATGCCTCACTCAAATAGAGGCTGTTTTGAATTCTCGGCCCCTCACCCCTATTTCCACTGATCCCTCAGATTTCTCCGCATTGACTCCTGCCCACTTTTTGATTGGACGCTCACTAATTGCTATCGCTCAACCACAAATAGGTGATGCGAATATAACCCGCCTTGATCGATTCAAGAGAATCGAGCTTATAAAGCAGCACTTTTGGAGCCGATTTTCACTAGAGTATGTCAATCTGCTCCAGCAAAAGGTAAAATGGCGGTCATCGACCAAGGAGCTGAAATTGGGATCTCTTGTTCTTGTCAAGAAAAGAGCTCTCCCACCATTGATGTGGTCCTTAGGACGAGTCATGCAGCTCTATACTGGGAGCGACGGCGTTTCCAGACTCGCCGAGTTGAAGACAAGGAGAGGCACAATTCGAAGAGCCTTTAATAACATCTGTCCCCTTCCAGATTTTTGAAGTTCTCTGCACACTTCAACCCGGGGAGCATGTTGGGAACCGGTTGCATGTACGGGCGGGTGGAGACGCGCGGGAGGACGTCTCGTCGAGCGGCAGCGGCGCGGCGGCTGGAGGTTGGGACGATACTCCACCGCGGTCGGACGACAACACTAATTTAATTTATAATAATAATTTTATCGAGTAGACCGGGTTATTGTAAAGTACGGATGATTATATCAGCCCTATAAGAATATACAGTCCACTTTCATTTAACCACGTCACCAGGAACCTAACAAGTATCGCTATCGTCGCACCACAAGCGTGTACGCTCCGAAGACTGAATCACACTTATGGAGTTTCTGAACAATTTTGTTTATACAGAACATGCTCTATATCACCACATCGAGCGTGAACCCCTTCCCGGGGTATACACCTTTCCTACAGGAGATCTCCCCTTTTCACTCTACGACAAAAGTCATCAATGTTAAACGGTGTAGAAAAATAGAACACCGAAATTAATAAAATAAACATCTCAAGCAGTAAGCTAAAAATAGCGATGGACAAGCCAAATCATGAAATACTGCGCGATACAACACATTGATAAAAGTAAATGAATTTCATATGAAGAACAAATGTGTCCCCGTGATAGGCACATACTGTACTAAAGTGTTTATATCATCGTTCCGTTATGCTGAATTTGAAACGAAATACGTAAGAGCTGCCCGACGTGTGGGCCAGATTGAAAATCAGTGAATAATGAAGTCGGCCTGTTCGTGGTCTTATATAATACTAAAGACGCGTCGACTTTGTCTGGCGCGATTTATTAATGTAGCATTTTTTTATAGGAGAGGGGGCAAACGAGCATGCGGCTCATCTGATGGTAAGTGACTACCGCCGCCCATGAACAGCTGCAACACCAGGGAGGGAATCGCAGATGCGTTGCCGGCCGTTTAAAAAGGAGTAGGCTCTTTTCTTGAAGGTCCCTAAGTCGTATCGGTCCAGAAAAATCGCTGATGGTAATTGTTTCCACAAGGAAGTCGTGCGAGGAAGAAAACATCTTCTAAATCACACAGTGGTGGACCGCCAATCATCCAGATGGTGTGAATGGTATCGGGAGTTCTGCCGCAATGTGCGTTCGTGAAATTTGGCGGCTGGGATTAATCCAAACAATTCCTCAGAGCACTCTCCGTGGTAGATGCGAAATAAAATGCAAAGGGATGCAACATCTCTTCGCAGTGCCAATGAATCGAGCCGATTCAAAAGGACTCGGTCGTCGACGATTCGAGTCGCTCTACGCTGGATGCGGTCAAGTGGAAGGAGCTGGCACTGGGGAGCCCCTGCCCAGAGATGGGAACAGTATTCCATGTGAGACCGAACCTGCGCCTTGTAAAGTTGCAGGCGGTGTGCCGGCATGAAATACTGTCCCGCTCTGCTGAGCACGCCAAGCTTTTGAGAGGCTAGTTTGGCCTCTTCTTCCAAGTGACCATGAAACTGCACGTCACTCGATATGTCAACTCCGAGGATTCCGATACTGGCTGAGGCAAGAAGGGGAGTGCCTTGAAACTGGAAGATAGGAGCAATCAAGGAGCAAAAAGGAGCATCACCAGTGCTGTCATCCGCATAACAATGAATGTTACCAGTCAGCAACATATCATTGATATGCAGAAAAAACAGCGTTGGTGATAGCACACAGCCTTGTGGAACACCAGCGTTAATAGTCTTGTAGTCGGAGCATGCACCATCTACAACGACCTTCATGCTCCGATCTGCAAGGTAGCTGGTGATCCAATCGCACAATTTCTCGGGAAGCCCATAGGAAGGGAGCTTCGAAAGAAGCGCTTTGTGCCAAACCCGATCGAAGGCCTTCGCAATGTCTAAACTAACGGCCAATGCCTCCCCCTTGGACTCTACTGCCTCTGCCCATCTATGGGTCAGGTAGACCAGAAGATCACCAGCTGATCGACCTTGACGATTACCGTATTGGCGGTCACTAATCAGCTAGTGATCCTCAAGGTACCGCATGAGTTGGCAGTTAATAATTGATTCCATTATTTTGGAAACAAAGAGGTGATCGCGATAGGCCTATAGTTGGACGGGTATGTGCGGTCGCCTTTTTTAGGGATTGGGTGGACAAAACCTTCCATTAATTCGGGACTACATCTTGGGAGTAGGAGTACCGGAAAAGACGCGTTAGGACCGGTGTCAACTCCGGAGCACACGTCCTCAGCACAATTGGCGGGATTCCGTCAGGCCCACTCGACTTCTGGATGTCCAGTGAGAGGAGTGCTTTGCGAACCGAGCGATGTGAGAACAGCATATCCAGCATGGAGCACTCACACCGCGAGATGATCGGCGGTGTTTTCCCCCCGTCATCAAGAGTCGAGTTGGACGCAAAAAGGGAGCCTAAAAGGTCGGCTTTGTCTTTTGCGTCTTGGGCCAGTGAGTTGTCCTCCCTGTGCAGATATGGTAGTGATGGCTAACAGAAATTCCCTTGGAAAGCCTTGGCGAGAGACCAGAATGCACGGGTTCCCGAAGGAAGGCGAACTAGTTTCTCGCCAATTCTGCCTATGTGCTCTGACTTTGCCTTGGCAATAACTCTTTTGAAGGACCTGGAGACGAAGTTATACTTATTTTTATGTGTGCTGGTGTTTACATACAGAGTCGCCGAAACCGCAGCCCAGGCTTGATAACACTCCAGCATTATTTAGATTCAAGATAATCATCAGAAACCATATAAGTTAACTATTTTTCGATTTCTCAACAAAATATTCAATTTTTTTGGAAAAAATATAGCCTAGATCCCTCCTGATATTGCTCTCTATCTGTTCGTGAATTTTCATTACAATGGGTTAAGCCGTTCCAAAGATTCGCCGAGAGAGACAGAAAGACAAAAATTTCAAAATAGTTATTCATATCTATCAGCTCAACTTTAATACGTGGTAGAGCCGTGCTGCAGCTATATAGTAGTATAGTTGTAGCATAAATGGGTCGGCTCGACCGGGGAAGGACAACGCTCTCACAGAATACCAGCGTAAAATAGCAGCTTAACGCTGCTGTGTTTCGTATGATGAGTTTAGAGAACCGGAGACCCTTTTTAGTGGAAAAGAGGCATTCCATCTTAGTCCTCACGGGTGACAAAGCATCTGCATTTTGAGTCTTTATTGAGGATAGATGTAGATGTCTATGGGTCACAGTAACCACTTACCATCAGGTGAACTCTGTGCTTGTTTGTCACCCTATCCTATATAAAAAAATTATAAAGCTCTTATTTCGATATTAAAGACAGACACTTTAATTATATATATATATATATATATATATATATATATATATATATATATATATATATGTGTAAAGATAATATAAGAAAAGCTGGTATTGAACTTATTTTGTATGTAGTCATGCTCAAATAAGAAATAAATGTGTTTTTCTGTATTAAAAATAATAAAAAAAATTACTAGAAAAATCCGTTTTAATGTTCTAATCCATTTTAACTTCATTTTGTATTTCCAAGCGTAACATTTATTTCAAAAAATCTAAGAAAAGCTTCGTTGTTTTAATGTTATTACAAATTAAATACTAAATGAAAAAGCTCATTATATTTTACTAAGCGTTCTAACTTTTGATTAAAAGAGTTTTTGAGGTAAATGGTTATAAGTTATTAATATACAAAAATTTATTAGTAGCTTACTAAAAGCGCCTGATAGTATGTAAAAAGCTTGGATAATAAAGTAGCATTTTCAGATTTTTTGTTTCAATATAGGAATTTACATACATCTTTTCTTCTTCTTCTTTCTTTCTCTTTTTTAATTAGCTTAACAAAGTAACTAACCTAACTTAATAAGCCCTTCAGAAGGATTTCGCACAATTGTTCCGAGTCTGGTTTATATAGGTATATATGTTGTACCGACACACATTCGAACTCGAAACAATTATTTAAAGGTCATGCAAATACTTTATACACACAATACAGGATTTGTTAACGCTCAGCCGTGACATATGCAGGCGAGCACTGCGGGGTCTGCTGGGTTAACAGGGAGTTTTGGTGCCATCACATAATTACTACTGAGCCCGAGCGGGCTACGCCTTCCGCTTTTCTGCAACGGACTTTGCTACCATATCACAAGACTCACGGCTTATTTATTTATCTATTTATTCTGAGAGTCAAACTGGGTTCGAACCCGCGGCACTGCAGTGACCCGAACTACCGCTTAGCCACTGTGCTACGGAGCCGTCAAAATAGCTCTATCTTTCCTTCCTTATAACTTTTGAAAATATTAAATGGTAAATTAAACTAAATATAAACCAATATCAATGAAAGCAATATCATAAGCTAGCGAAACAACTCAAATTACAGTACAGTACAGAAACAAAGCATTCAGTCATCAAATATACCATTTTATAAAACAAAGTATGATGCAGGTGCAAGGTACACAAAGCATTCGGAGAACAACTTAACTGTATTATTCATATATTGTGGCATTGTTGAACGGGAATCGTAGAACACTTCATCAAATATTTCTGTAATCATCGAATACTCGATATTTCAGATATTAGCATTTGATAGATGGATCGTCCTACGTATGTCTTGTCTGACGATTCATTTACTCACAGGAAAAGTAAATACTCGTGAAATGAAGTAAAAATATATTTTGAAACGTGTAAGTGTGTTGATGGTGGAGAGAAACCGTATTCCACTGAACCACTAGAAAAACACTAGCCAATGTAAATAAAATTTCTCCATTAGAAAGGTATAACCACCAGTTTTAGCGGAAAATCCACAAAGTTGGCAACTTCTGGTAACACGGAGTATCAGCACGCGCCAAACGCGCCGCGTTATATGACGTCATCAACTAGCCTCTTTCAATATTCGGATACCTACCGCATTTTATAATATACGGTGCGTACCGTGCGGGAGAATTGTGGGAGGTTTCGACTTGGCAACATATAACGCAATCATATTGAGGACTGACTAGAAGATCTTAGAGCTTGAAGAAGATATAATTATCCGAAGTCCGAAGACAGTGCAGTACGCGATAATCTTCGAATCCGGTATCACCGGGAAGGCAACCATCTGTCCCAAAAAAGGGTCGGATTTATCGTCCGTAAGACTCTCGTAAAGTCTTTTTCGGAGTGTGTCGAGTAGGGTTGCGTACCTTATAATCAGACTCACCAAATGGTATTTGCTGAATGTCATACAGGTTTACATATCGAACTCGGCACATCCCGAAGAGGAGGTGGTATATGGTGGAAT